GGCACTGACTGCCCATGCGCACATCTAATGCTTGGAATATCAGATATGTTTGCCTTTAACAGAAGCATCTGTGATTAAAATTTCAAAAAGATATCTCGGTAAAGAAGACAGTTGATATTCGCATGCGCACATTAATTTGATGTTTACAATATGCGATACGTTTGCTTTTACTAAAAGTATTTTTCGTTAAAATTTCAAAGAAATATCTCCATAAATAAAAAAGTTACCATTGCACAGTCTGATTTTTACTATATATATGGTTATCTGTGGTTAAAATTTCAACAAAATATATTAATAAATGAGAAAGGGGACATTGCGCAGCCTGCGCATGCGCAGTTTAATCGTCGAGATTTTCCTTGGCTCAGGTGCCAGTGCAATACGCTACCGAATGCAGAAATAATCTAAATATCTGAAAAACTGTAGTAGTTAAGGCCTCGGACAGACGGATGGACAGAAAAAGTTGCTGCAATAGCGCACCCAACTCTGTTGAAAAATGCGCTACAAATGTCAAATGTAAAGTTAAAATAATGACAAATGTGATCACTCTAACCTTCTGAGTGCAAATGTCTAACCTTCTAATTGCATCGGCACCTATACCTACCTGTTTTTGAGTGCACTGGCAAGCTAGTATCCAAACAATTACATAATTCCACAAGAACTTCATCAACAGGAAAACAACTCAATGCCTTGTACGCAGCACATACAACGTCTTCATTTTCCGAGTTAATTGCATAAGAAAACAATTTTTGGATTATTGAACTAACGACGACATCCGAACACTCTGATGCGTCAAAGTAACTTACTTCTGCCATAAACTCGCAATACCTGAAATACATTATGAATTCAATAGTTCGAAGCATGATTGCACGATTGTTTTATACATTTCAAAGTAAGCTTAGAAACAGGAATGCCAACATTAGTCAAACATAAGCAAACAGAGAGATTCTTTTAATATATTATTAATTCCTTTAAATAGATATAGCAAAGCCTAAGCGAATTGAATTTTTTTCTTTAAATTGAAAAGTAATAATGTAAATATTTCATTTATGTAAAATATATACCTTTGAATAACATGCGCACGAGCTTCCTTCTGAAGAAGTGGTTGTAAAGCATCCCATGTACTACTAATACTTATAATTCCGCTTTTACATAAGAGCACAATTCCTTCTAAAACCAAAGAGGTCGCCACAGTCCCGGCTTCACCTTTACATTTATTTAATATGTCTGATAAATGTGAAACTAATTCACTACCATAACGTTCTGGGCTAAAACAAACGGTTTTTTAAACACCTAACAATTATTCGCTTACCTTTTCAAACAAAGCTGTTTGCCAACATAAGCTTTCATAGTATAAAATTCTATTTTAGCGTTCTCACTTTTTTCAGTAACGCCCGAATCAGCTAGTAGGCTTTGTAGATGTGAATAACATTTATTCTTGGTTTCCCAAAGGTCCAGATATAATCGCAAGTAAAACGACTTCATTCCCTCGATCCCTTTCCTTGTAAGATCCAAGATATTTAAAA